CGTACTGCAGACACAACTACAGGGTGTCTGGATTCCTGGTGCCTCGGCAAAGTGAGCGCGGGGTAGGGGGGAAGAGGACTGGGGAAGAGGTGGGAGGGGGGGTGCGCACACAGGGCTATGAGGATCACCCATGAGGGGCCTGAGGGCGGCTGTGGGTACCCTGTGGTCCTGTCCTGTGTAGGGCGTTTCCGGGGGTGCCCAGTCCTGTCCAGTCAGGGGAGGGTTTGGGGAGCAGCTGAGAGGGAGGTGGGAGGAGGGAGTCGGTCTGTCTTGGCCAACTCCCCCCATCCCCCCACCCTGAGCCCTGGACTAGGGGTGCTGGGTGCACAAGCCTGTCCCTGGGCGGAGGGTCAGGCTGGGTGTGAGGGGCGGGGCCTCCGAGGCACCTCTGGCCTCTCTGAGCTCCTTTCAGGTCTCAGTGTCTTGTTCCCCCCTCAGTGCCCCTGTGTTTACAGAGGGGGTGATGGTTTTTTTTTCCCCCTGACCCTGAGCCCTGGAATAGGGGTGCTCAGTGCACAAACCTTTCCCTGGGCGGAGGGTCAGGCTGGGTGTGAGGGGCGGGGCCTCCGAGGCACCTCTGGCCTCTCTGAGCTCCTTTCAGGTCTCAGTGTCTTGTTCCCCCCTCAGTGCCCCTGTGTTCACAGAGGGGGTGATGGTGAGCCAGGGTCTAATTGTAATTGTGTTACTTAACTCACTGATGTCACATCTACACAGAATGACAGCATTTAAGTCATTACATGTTAACTGTTTAGAGTTCTGACAATTTACCTCCCATTGTTTTCTTAAATCTTTTTCAATGTTGCCAAATACTCAGTTGAAATTTTTTTTTTATTTTTAATTCATCCTTCTTTGATTTCTAAGGTTCTTGAACAGTTTTCACGTACCTGTTGGCTAATGGCTGTTCCTGCTCTAGGAATGGCCTGTTGTCCGTCATCCCTGGGGTCCGGGCCTTTTTCTCAGTGATTTTTCCGGGTTCTCTAGGCAGCAAGAGGGACACTTTGCTAACATGGATTCAACATTTTCTCCAGTTCCTGGCTTGTGCTTTCATTCTCTTTTATTACTTTCCATTTTAGGAATTTAAAGATCTTTAATGTAATGAAATGTACTGCAAAGTTGTTAACAATGATTTTTTTTAAAATATATTTTTTATTGATTTCAGAGAGGAAGGAAGAGGGAGAGAGAGATGGAAACATCAATGATGAGAGAGAACCACTGATCAACTGCCTGCTGCACACCCCACACTGGGGATCGAGCTGCAACCTGGGCATGTGCCCTGACTGGAATTCGAACCATGACCTCCTGGTTCATAGGGTGACACTCAACCATTGAGCCACACAGGCCAGGCTGCTAGCAATGATTTACCATCAATCTTAAATCTACTTTTTTAGGGTAAAGTAAAAATGTTTTCCCCAGGTTCCTCCTCTCTCTCCTCCAACTCCTCCACCTTCTCCATCTCTTCCTTCTCTCCCCTCATTGTATTTATTGAGCCTGGTCTCAGGCAGGAAACACACATGTTAATGAGTTCCAGCCCCTGCCCTGAGCTCAAATGTCATATTGAAAAGAGAGACAATTATAAAATGACAGGAATCCTAATAACAAGATTGGCTTCTGTTGAGAAGGAGCGGGTTGCTCAGTGAGTGTCACTATAAGTATTATAATGAGTGCCTGTCCTGCTCCTCCCTCTCCCTCAGGACTCAGCCCCCTGAGCTAGAGAATCACCTGCCTTTCTGTTCTCAGGTGTGATCGCATTCCCAGGACTTCATACCCTGAATTCTGATTTTCCCCAAGCTGTTCCCCAGTTTCTCCCTCTGCTTTCCTTATATTTTCTCTCCATCTATATATATAAAAGCCCAAGCGACTGAACAACTGGAACAACAGGAATGACTGGTCGACCAGTCACTATGATGCACACCGACCAGCAGGGGCAGACCCTGAATGCAGAAGCTGCCCCGGTAGTCAGTGTGCTCCCATAGCCAACCTCTCCTGGCCCCCAGCCGGCACCCCCGATCAGCCCCAATGGGGGGGGGCTGGCGGCCAACCTCCCGTGGCCCCTTCCTCCCTGACTTGCTGGCCAACCTCCCGGGGTCCCTCCCTTCAGCTGTCTGGCCCCCAATAGGCCTCGATTTTTGGCAGGCCGAGGGACCCCACCCATGCACTAATTCATGCACCAGGCCTCTACTATATAATAAACAGCTGACATATAGTGATGGCTACGTTCCAGCTACTGTTTTACATATTTTAGGCCCCTTGATCCTCATATGTCCTTAAGTGGTGAGCTAGTATTATCACCCCCTTTGCAGGTGAGGAGCTGAGCAGAGAGGGTCTCCCAGGATCACCCAGTAAGAGGCACAGCCTGGATGTGACCCAGGCAGCCCTGCTCCAGAAATCACACTGGAACTCACACACTCTGCGCCTTGCAAAGATTTGTAAACACTTCATTCAACAATGAGGAACTGTTTCAAGACATGAAAAATCCCCCAAATGTCCTCAACGTCTCTCAAATCCAGTGGCCTGGGTTGTAGGCAGAGATTCAAGGCCCATGGCACTATCTCCAGCTGGGCCACAGGGCGGGTTTGAGGGGGCCTTGCCTGGGCCTGGAGCCTGGGACTGGAGATGAGGCCGAAAGGGAGCCACCAAGGGACCTGCCTGTCTTGCTCACGTCTCCCTCGCCTTCTCTGTCCTAGCTGAGCCCACAGTGACCGTGTATCCTGCAAAGACCCAGCGCCTGCAGCACCACAACCTCCTGGTCTGCTCCGTGAACGGCTTCTATCCGGGCCACATTGAGGTCCGCTGGCTGCGCAACGGCCAGGAAGAGGAGGCCGGGGTGGTGTCCACGGGCCTGATCCGGAACGGGGACTGGACCTTCCAGACCCTGGTGATGCTGGAGACAGTTCCCCGGAGCGGGGAGGTCTACACCTGCCAAGTGCGGCACCCCAGCAGCACCAGCCCTGTCACCGTGGAATGGAGTGAGACGCCTTCTGACCTCACATGCTTTCCCCTCCCCCCACAGGACCTTAGCTTGTCCCTGAGGGTCAGGGTCCCCTCTCCCCACACCTCGTTTTCCTTTGCTCCTGTCTTTCCTTCAGCACAGGCCACAGGGTAGCCCTGTGATCGCTTCTGTGGACACCCATAGCCCTGGGAGGCCGCTATGCCTGCCCTGCTTTGAATTTCCCACACTCTCCCAGTCATGGTGCCCCTAGGCCCTGGGCACCATCCCCTGTCAGCTGGGCGGTGCTTCTGCCTGCGCTGAGCTGCCCACTGTGATCTGGGAAGAGGCGCGTCCTCCACAGTGTGGGGACCTTGATGCCCGGGGAGACCCCCGTCTGCTCTGCTGTCTGCGGCTCTGTCACCCAGGCCAAGTCCTGGAGGTCATGAGCCCCTGACTCTGCAGCCCTCAGAGACCAAAGCAGTGGCCTTGGGTCGGATGTGTGGGGACCTGAGGCCAGTGCCTGGGCCTTGTACCTGCTCAGTGTGACCTCAGTCTCTTTCGTGGAAATGGCTATTGTTCTGCCTCTTCTAGGGCAGCACCCCCCTCCCG